GAGCAAGTTTAAGGTCAGCCAACAGCGTTAAGCACGTGCCCCTTTTCAAAAACTTGTGATCATACAGAAGGGTCAAGTGGACATTTCACTATGTGTCATTAGGAGTGAAAGAAAAGAAACATTTTTCCCATAATTTAAAAGCTGAAATCCAGAGTTCAGATATATTTCACGAACCAAGTCTATCCATAGCAAAACGGACTTCATCCAAAGAGAAATTCATTTTTAACAATGACGCCATTTTTTCCTCACTAACTCCACTGCCAATACCGGGTTCCTGTAAGATCCATCATTGCACCAACATAAGAACATTAGAATATCATGAGTGAAAATCCTTGAAGGCAATGTGAAAACATTAAACTGCATTTTCAAAAGACAAATAAACATTGCTTTAATAGTGTTCAAGGATCATAGAGACATTTTTCTGAAGAAGGAAAATATTTCAATAACCAGCTTATAGCTGAATGTATCTGTAACTTGACTACAACAGAGAATATTGCATTCCATTAAAGGGCATCAAATACTAAGAAATAATGAGTCGCCATCAGTCCATTTGCCGTACAAAAAAAATCAAATCTTAAGCTGAATGGTATGCGAGAGCTGACAGTATGAATGACACAATCATTAGGTGAGGATCATCAGGACAAGCAACAGACTGAGTACTCTTCAAATTGAAATACTTGCATAAATGCTACATGGTTATTGATTCTGCAAATATAGTTACGGTCTAAGATGTGAAAATATCAATATAATTTACATCCTTCTTAGAAAGTAAAGACTAGGAGAAACTACATAACCTTGCCCAATACTGCAGCTGACAATTAGTTTAACCAATAGACATATTTATGTCACGATAAAGGAAATGGGTAAACTGCTTTTATAGGAGCAGGAAATTAAGGTTGTGACAACATCAGTCCATTAAAACAGAACTTTTTAAAGAAAATTAACAGGATGAAGAACAAGCACAAAAGAACACAAACAGTGCTGCACCAGACCAAAACCTACTTGATCAGTTGATTAAAAAGAGAGATTTAGTATAAAGTTCGCTTATCGTGTCTGAATGAACACATTAGAAAAGAGAATTTAAAAGATACCATTTTCACGTGAGAATCGGCCTCGCGGTAGGCATTCATATCTGTATCTTTGCCGAACAAGCTGTCTAGAGAATCTGATGACTCGGATTTATGAAAAGCCTGGCAGGTATAAATCAAATCAGAAACCAACAACTATACATCTACAGCAAGTACACAGGATAAATCTTTATCTGGTGAATAAGAACTAGAAGTAGCTTCAAAGAATGAGGTACAAAGAGAAGATTCACTAATAGATTGAGGGTAAGAGGGCATGTAATTCAACTCGCTCACATTGACATCATGATGACTAAAATCCAAATTATGCGAAGTAACACTTAATGTACCAATAATTAAATGGTAAAATGAGAAAATATGACATCCTGGGATGAACCCACCGTGAAGTCCATATTACAATTTAAAGAAAATATAGTCATATGTCTTGAGTCACAAACACGACGGGAGAAGATTTTAAGATTGCGGTTATACAAGAATATTGAATCATATAATAAAAAATCCAATACCAAAATTTAAATGCAGCTTTTATGTCAACAATTTAGTCCTCAGCGAGTTAACATAGTAAAAATCAAGGGTGATTTGCCCTCAGACTCGAACTCGCATACGAGTAAACAGCTTTCCAAAGTAAATAGATGAGTACCTCGCTTGCAAGGTTTGCAGCTAAACAATCATTGCCACCGCTCAAGAAACAATCATCAGAAAACTCTGACTTTGGTTGCTGAAGATCCTGTTCGATTAATGTGAATGCAGTATAATATTTATAAGGAGCAGAAAAAAAAGATCGGTGTTATCTAGCATTCATCATCTTAGCCAATTGAAAGACTACATAAATGCTTGGGAAATTTATAATCCCAGTCATTCAGCTGCAAAGAGAGAGAAGTCAAATCATGGATATATTAAGCTGTTTGACTTTATTCAAAAAAAAAAAATTAAACAGATTTAACCCATGTTTGTCACATAATGATCCTATATCCCTTTTTCTTATCGAAAAGCAAACTTGGATAAAACAAATAATTGCAAAAGCTGGCAAGAACAGGAACTTCAAGGAGCAAAGTAATAACACTTTCACCATCTAAATGTGACAGAGAACACTTAAGTATCATATTGACCAAGAACAAAATGTCTACGAATACTCAGTATTACTTTATCTAAGGGGGAGAGAAGAACTTACGGAATATGTGAAGAGAATCTCCAATAATGACTCAGCATTCTGCTCACCTATGACAGGAAAAAAAAAATAACTTGTTTGTTTGATTACTCATTACTGAATGGAAATGGTGATATGTAATCATGATACTAAGATATATATATAAGCACTTAAGAAAATATTGAAGTAGCTGAAGGGTTAAATAAAATGGTTTGGAGATTTTTTCAGCTTAGAGAACATGAAAGCACAGTTAACAACCGAATTTTCCATAAGAAGAAGCTAAACAAACCATTTTCCTCAATGACTTTGTTGACAAGCGATGGCGCGAAACCCATCCCTATGAATGATGATCTCAAATTGATTCCAGAAGAACTTGCCACATTTTCCTACAATCAAAGCAATTCACAAAGACAATAAGCATCAGTGAATAAATAGATCCAAGTCCGAGCACAATATTATGTAATGATATCTTTGAATGCAAATGTTTTAAGTTACAATGTACTGTACTGCTAGACTGCTAGTCCTTATGCTACAACAGGAATGTTTCAACCTCAAACTAGTTTTTTTCATAAAACCTTGCGCAAATTGCAACATTCAGAATAGCAACTAAAAGCAAACATACCGCCCCAGAAGTCGAGCACATGTGTTGCGGTGGCAAATTATAATTTACAATCTCATCCTTTAAAACAAAGCCAACATCGGTTTCCAGCACAGGAGAATCTTCGTCATCCGAAATATCCACGACCTCGCACTAAGAATGGGGGAATATAAAATGAAAAATGAAAACACTCTTAATAACATTTTAAATCCCCCTGAATCAAGTAGAAAAACCCAAACTCAGACCCTGAAATTCACGAACGCTTACCATCTTAAGATTACTTGTGGTTCCCAATAAAAGCAAAACCAAGATTATTTCCTGACAGGTCCTGCAAATTAGAGAATAAATAAGCATATATACATAGGATATTAACTGGGAAACAATACCCACAAACTGAAGATTATTGTATGCCATGGGAACAATGTTCAATAATTGCTTACGTTTTATCAACTTTCTGCAATTGAGTGCGAAAAATGAAATCAAGATGTGAAATTATCGAGTGAAAACGGAGAGAACTTTAAACTGGTCAGCATTATTGGTGCATGCAAATAATTCAGGAAAAGAAACACCAAAACCCGAAAATGTACAAAAGAGGGGGAACTCGTTCTTCTTCTCTCTTTCTTTTTTTTTTTTTTTTTAAATTTAAATTATTGTCCCAATTTAAGGAGGAAAAAAGAAAAGTAAAATAACAAATCGAAGCTAAAGAAGAAGGGGGTAACCTGTCGATTGACGGCAACGGTAACAAATTCGCGTCGACTGTGCTGTGCAGGCACCGGTGAGAAATATATAACAATTTGTATTCACTATTCAGTGCTCTCAGAAGTCAGAGCTGAAAAAGTGAAAAGCTGAGACTTAATAATATGTAATTGCGTCGACAGAGCTTCAAGATAGGTAATATCTCAAATTAGCCCATGAGATTCAGTATTCTTCAATTTGCCCCTTCATATCTTCTTTTATTTGAATTTACCCCTTAATATTAGTAGTCTTCATTTTGTTGTACAAACTACAATATGTGGTTACATGTGAGTACATCTTCAAAAATGATGGTACTGAGTAATTAAAATTCAATGGTTGGTGTACACGTCTACATCCAATCAAACATAGATGGGGCAAATAGAAAAATAAAACAGAGGCACTGAATATGGCGTATTGCCTTTTTTTTCTTTTTTTTCTTCTTTTTCTTTTTTCATATCACTTTTATAATCATTGGAAGCCAAAAAACAAAAGAAAGTTAAACATAAGAGAGTGTATCATCACCTCCACCCTACTTGGGGAAAAATAAAAAAGATAAAAAAAAAAAAAACATCAGTATTCTTCATCAATCAATGTAGTCAAATAAGAAGTCTGTCCTCCATCCAATCAAACTGCAAGCCGGCACCCAAGGAATAACTCTACCAGTGACTGAAAACTGTAGAGCCATGACCGAGTATAATGAATGATACACTCCAAAATCCAAATATACACAACTTCTTCACCAAGAACTTGTCCAAAACCCATTCAAAAGAAAATTTTCACCTCTTTCAATATATACCTAATCACCCTTAAGAGCTCTGGGATCAAGTGGTATTGTTCCAACTGTTAAAAAACCACAAGACTCATTTCCCGTAACTTTCACTGCCATTGACCCTATAGTCACAACCTTAACCTGCTCCCTTTTTGTCGTGCTAGAAACAGCAGCACTAGCCAATGGACACTCAGGCTCTGTCTTCTCTGCATTTATTGTCAATGACCTCATCTCTAATTCATCAACTGTTTTCCGCACTCCATCTGCGCCGCTTTCACTGACACTTGTTAATTTGTTGGTACTAGAATCTGAGGAGGACACCTGCTCTGTAGATGCAGAGTGCTTCTTCTTCACTGAGCTGTCCGTTTCAGAATCTTCCGCAACTTTGTTTTTGTTCACAATGGTCAAATTATCGGCATCATTATTTGTACCATTTACATCTCCAGTGTAAGGAAAATCATGAACATAATGAAGCTTGCGAGGAGGATCGAGTTGTGGAACAAGATATTGATTTTCGTAACTCTTTCTGAGCAGCCTGGTTCTCTCTTCCTGCAAAATTCGCTGTCTATTCTCATAGTACATGAAGTCATCAAGCAAGGATGTTTTTAATGTGTGGCTTTTGTAAATTCTCAGCATCTCCAAACCTTTCTTGTAGCATATCTGAAAATAACAATTAGCATAATTTAAGCACGCTGATCACATTGAACTCGGGTCAAACAATAAAATTGAGTATTTGTGCCAGCCCTTGGGCTTCAACATAGTGTGGCTAAATTGACAAGTCATAAATTTAAAGTAACACTTTTTGATGTTGATGATGCCAGCATTCAGCAATAGATAAATATTCAAAAGCGAAAGGATATGACACCAATATAAAAAGTGGAAGGATACCTCTTGTGTATCTCTACTGTTTGTCACTGGCTTGTTCTCATTATTCTCTAGTATAATGTGCCTAAAATTAGAGTTTGGCAAATCCTTTATAATGTGCCACTTCACAGGAAAGCTACCACTCCATTTATCTTGCTGCCAGAAATCCATATCTCTATGGAAGTCCACAGGGCCAGTCATCTCTGCAACACCACAGAACTGGCCACTAGCATTAACCTGAAATTCCGAATGACAAAGTAGAACCCGATCAATAACATTTAATGAGTAAAGGGAAAAGAAATACGGGAGCCCCTCTAATAGAAACAACCTAAGTACTTAACAAAGACATGAGAAACTTTACTTACAGAAAAAAAGAGGAAGATAGGACAGCCTCTTAAATCTCCTAGGCCTGTTCTATGGGCATCTTGATATGCAGTAGTGAGCTTCTTGTTCCCATTAGGTGTAGAAGACCAAACGTTGTACTTTATACTCTTATGCACATCATCCTCACTATACGATTTGATCACAAAGAACTTTGCATTTGCATAGTCGACAGGAAAATCAATTTTGTTATACTGGTCTTTAAAGATAGTAATGTTCCCTTGAGCATCCGGATTTCCGGCCCTTGTTGTATAGGCTCTAACCACCAATTCATTTTTCAATTTGTTTGTCCTAGACCCCCGATTCTGCTCGTTCAATGGTCCCCCGTTCTGCTCTCTCAATGTGTCAGGGCTGGCTCTTTCAGCATCAGTGACTCTATCGTAGAGTGCATTGGGCTTAACTCTATGTACAGATGCCTGAGCGTGATTGCTTGATTCGAAACCAGACAATACTTTTGCAGAAGCAAAAGCACTCTTTGATTGACTACTAGCAGATGAAGCCTTCCCGCGTAAAGCATTTTCTGTGCCTTGAGGGTCTCTTGCCTAAAATACAAGATTTTAACAGAATAGCGTACAAACTGAATATCAAAATATTGTTATAAAACGTGGGAAATTGGATGCTTTATTTTTATCTACATGAATTATCTTGTTAAAATTACTCACCAGAGATATCTGTGATGATGCTCTATTAGTAAAATTAACAGAAGTAACATTAGGCCAATGCTGCTTGACAGATCCAGTAGTAGCTCCACCCCCTTCAGACATCCTTGCAAAGGAATTTCTTCGACTAGAGTTATCCCCAAGTCGAGCCAGTGACGAATTAGGGGTATTTGGAGGCAAATTGTATCTAGAAACTAGACCATCAACTTTACTAACAGATACAGCATTATCAACGAATGAGTCTCCTATCCCATTTGCACGAGACTCGGGCCTTGATTGAAGAACCACGGGCACATACGAAGGTGATGAAATGGGATTTTCATACGAGGGAATTGCATAGTACTGCTGGGGCGCTACAATAGATCCATCCAGTCCTATCATAGCACCAGGAATATAAGGATTGTATGGGTTATAAGGTGACTGCCCATATCCATAGGTAGGATTATAATATACATATGGCAGATTTTCATTTGTCACACCCTGCAAGAAAAGAACCAGATTAATATCTTACATCCGGTAACTCGAATAAGAATGCAAATAAACAAGCCAGAAGAGAAGGACTCACAGTATACTGAAGATCTTGACCATCCAGACCAAAAATCCTTTGGTGGTCTTCCCAGTCACCAGTTGATTCAAATCCTACCAGAAGGGAAGAGCATATCATTTCAAACGATGTACCATACAGAATTACCAATACCAAAATACAACGTGCTTACCAATTTAATTACAATTGCTATTTCATTGGTATAATGTTTCTTACCTGTACAGATATATCCATAGTTGGTAGTAGGGGGGTAATACAAGCCCTGATCGACAAAGTAGTCCGGAGCTCCCTCATTATACATGGATTCAAGTGGTTCAAATTGGGAAATAAACTGTGGGATTGGCTCAGAACTTTGAATCTGGGAAATCCAAAACAATCTGCATTAAAGTCAATCTACAAATTAAAGGAAAAAAAGACAACAACGTGCTGAGCAATAAACCGTATCACTGCCAGACCACTGAACCACTCTACCCAGAGAACTCGTGAAATATTAGGTTAAAAAAAGTACATTCCAGATGTTTACCAGATACATATCAGCAAGTCCTTGACCAGGAACATTGTATACTTCCATCCCAGGACTTGCCACACCCTGCAGAAACATATACTGATACTTAAAATGCATATAGAGCTCAAGTAGAAACTTTAAATCTGTTTGAAACCTCAGTCTGAGTTATCATATTGACAAGAAAAAATTAGACGTCTGATGATGTAAAGTAACAGAAGATCGGGATATCCAATAAAGTGAATGAGAATGGACCCTGGCTCTCTAATTTCTTTTAGCAGGAGGTGCGAAAATTGGTTCATGAGAAAAATTGGAACATTTGAGAACTTCTGGTGCCTCAAAATTGATAGGCAAATCCAAAATCAGAATCTCAATATGATTTTTCGGCCAATCATGCAAACCTAACTGTGAAAACATAATTTGGGCCAAAATTTAAGCAAGATACCTAATCGTATACCAAAATCAGTTCAATCAATAATTGTTTCGCAACTAAATCCCTAGAAATCAAGTCAGTCCGAGAAAGTTACCAAAAACTCTAGATTGCAATCCCGGTAATTAACTTGGACGGAATAAATAAATATGAATACTAGAAAGGAAAAAGGAAAATCGAAAACTTGTATTGACATACCTAGAAGAAGATCGATACGAAAGCGAATTGAAAAGGAGAGGCGAAAGGGAGGATTGTTAGAGAGAGAGAGAGAGATATGGGCGACAACTTACGGAAGAGATGAGCAGAAGAATCAAGCCATGGTTGACCCAGAAAGGAGCTGGAAGATCATAGTTGAGGATGGGTGAATCGAATTCTTAATATTTCTGGGAGGAATGAGTGTTTGTTTAATTATTGGATTTCGTTAGCAATAATTGATTATTTAAATTGCTAGACGTAGAACAAGTGTTTTTTCTTTTTCTATGTTTTCAAAAGTATACGCGGTTAAGAAAGAGAGAAAACCCTAGAGAGAGAGAGAGAGAGAGAATTAAAGGCGGTCGAAAGCGGAACGAAATGAAAGCTTGAAAAATGTTTGGAGAGAGTGATTTGTTGGCACAAGCTGCACTACACAAAGAGGAATCCGCTGCTTGGTTAAATTACTAATATAGCCTTTGGTTTTCGAATTTTGGATAAAGAATAGGCAAAGGTTAGTTAGGAAGTCGTGGGGAAGAAGGCAAAAGAAGGAACTAGATGTTTTGGAACATATAACAAAACCAAATTGGATTTTGTTTCCATTATTCTTTTTCTATTATTATTATTGGTATTTGCGTGAAAATAAAGAGAGTGAAAGTTAGCTAAATTCCACAATAAAATAGGTCAATTTGTTGATTATTTTTTCAAGAAAATGCGCTTGAATTACATTGGTGAAAATAATTATGAAACACTAGGTTTAATTTATCATATCGTGTATCAATTTTATGTTTAAAAAAAGAGGGCTTTTCTCCACCTCTTGTTTGGAAAAACAAGACAATCTTGCACGTCTACAACTCCCACCTTGCAAATTAATGACCAACATTACACAACAATATATATATATGAGCTTATCCACACACACACACACACACACACACACAAAAAAAAAAAAGAGGAAAAAAGAATGATAGCATGAATAGAAAGAGACAAGCCTCTCCGAGGTCAAGAATTTAGGTCAAGTCCCCAACAAACAATGCATGCCACATCATCAAAGTACATCTAAAACAGTCAAATGTGTAGATATACTGAAAGAAAAGGGGAGGGGAGAGGGGAGGGGTGTATATATATATATATATATATATATATATATATATATATATATATATATATATATATATATATATATATATATA